TGTATTTAGGGAAAGCGATATTTTACCTCCAGAAAACTGCATCTTTCTGACCTGTAGACCGTGAGATGCATGAGCAAATTTTATTCCAAGACTCGATCCTTGCTGACCTAACAGGATCAATGCTTGCTAACAAGCGTAAGTTCATTAAAACGGTCGAACACAAGTATGTACTGCATGTTCAAATGCATTAATCCTTTGCTATACAACATTGATTAAATCATTTATTTTGCTGGACTCTCATCAGTTCCTGCGTCAGCTGCTAGAGCAAAATTTTGTGATCTGACGCGACAGTAGAAAAAAAGTGATGCGGAATCACTGTGATAACTAGACATCGTCGATACGAGCACGAATGAAGGCGGCTTATTTTTTTATGTATTGAAGATAAGCTTCGAGTATTATCTATGACCTGGTCTCCCATGGTTTGGCGAGCCAAAACCTCGCCGGTGTCGATCCCCGCGCCAGGCACAATATTAAAAGAGCCCCACTGTTGCTTTGTCTCGCCAGCGGGGCGCCGTGTGCATTTCCTCCGAGACACGGTGGTCTCCTGCTTCACCTCAACTAGAATGCGAGGTTTTCTTTTTCATCAACGTTTTATGCACACATCCACTCTGCCGATGTTTGCACACGTCGTCGAAGGGCAGAAATATTATCCCACGCTTCGCTAATACAAGTAATTCCGGGGGTCCTGTTCTCGCTTCCTGCGTGGAACCCTGCTGGAAACCTAAAATATTCCAACTGGGAGCGCGATCAGTTTATCAGCCCTCCTGGCTTCCTACAGACGACGATGTTTTCAAAAGGTTTTTTCACACTAGTGAAAATACCCCACCGTGAGCTTCAGAGTATTTTTTTTGTGCGCCTCCGTAAACCTCCGGAAGTCTTGGCAATCTTCAACTCACAAATTAAGTTTGTCAAACTCACGTGCGTTGGATATGTCGAGTGCATCTCAATAGAGTAATTGAAAAAAATTCTACTTATACGCCAAATGTTATCTAAATAATTGAAAACAATCCACTGGAAACCTTCATGTCTGACTGGAATTTATTCAAAGGTTTATGTTCGCTGTCAGTATATTTTGAGTTTTGTCACAGTCCTAAAAGTATTGAGTGCAGCAGAAACTCGATTATCGGGCTAAGAATCCGGTGCTTTCTCCCATTTAGATGTAACAAATTTCTCGATAATCGCACACGCATGAGAAAATAATGCTCGACCATCGGAATAATCACGAATCATAAACGTTTCTTCAAGAAGTCAATCTTTTCATATACGAGTACAGTATATATTTTTAAAAGGTTTTTGCCTACGTTTTGTCCATCTGCAAAATAAACAATACTGTACATGTACTTATTGTATCTGACTTGTTTTTAGCTTTGTGATATTTTTTCTTTTTTCAGTGTTACATGAATTTCTTGGCAATATCCGAGTCGAATTGAGGAAAATAGTGCTTCAGTTTAATATTTTCTTGAATTTACCGCTTTGTTGTCGCCCACGCCCACATCGACGTAGAATTAGGAAATGGGCCATCAAAGCTCGAATAATTGACGTTCCAGGTTCCAATTTAAATATATTATCCGAACGAATTGCTTATGATGTAATAATATGCATCGAACGACCTTCTCAAGAATCCACTTTCTTTCAAAGATGAATGGTTAAACCAAATTCGACGAGATATCATCATTGTGATGATTGCTTCAAATTCAGTTTATCGGATCAAACGATCGCATTTTTTCAAAGATGGCGCGAAATCCTTGAAAAATACGGAATCGCTTGAGTTTATCGCACAATACTTTGATAAACAACCCGTACAAGCTGTGCTATTCGCCCATTTATAACGTGACATACAGTAGATTGGATCATTCGATGAGTGCTAAAACCAATTTGAGGATCCCGAACGAAATCCGCGCGCGCGTGTGCAAGAGGTCAAATGATCAATCTCGGTCTTCTCCAGAGGAGAATACTTTCCTGTTTCGCGATGGCGTGACTAACAGTCAGTCTGAGAAACGAAGGCGAGGGATCGAAAAACCGGACGAAATGGGTACACGACAGCCCAGAGGACGGGGATCAATTGCCCCGAGGAAAGGCAATGCCATTCCCCGGATAAGTCGCAATATTTCTTGCGAGATTGACTGTCCCCGCAGTCCAGGGGAAAAAAAAGTGGACGCAATTCGGGCGCATGAAGCGTCGGACTTCGCGGGTCATTGAGAGGAGTTGATCACATCGTCAGTAAAAACGACGGGTTCCCTTTCGGAATCGTGGCCGGGCTGGCCCTAATGGTCGGGCTCGTGTTGGCGCAGCCAATCACCGGGCCCATGCTGGAAGTGGAACCATGCCAACTGAAATTTGTTCCTCGCTGGAAACCGTCTTTACACGGGAATAAGGCGACAAAAGATCCGCAGGGGGACTTCCTATAAATTCTTCCACACTTGCCTGGAAACGCCGTCCATGCCTCCTAAACTGTGCTAAACGTGCGCGTCACAAGAGAAAGTCGCAAAACAGCTATTATGTACAATAAAATGCAGCCCCATACATCTACCAGCTGTCCAAAAGTCAGGGTGCCTTTCTGAAGATTACTACAGTTCAACCTCTTTAAGTCAAATTTCTAGGGATCAGGAAAAAAATTCGACTTATGGAGGTTTGGACTTCAGGAGGTTTTCATTTTTTGAGGTTTCCAGTTGAGGAAACAAACACTTTTGTTGTGAGAAGTGAAAAAATATGTGGGAAATCATAAATGAGGATATTCTGGGGTACACCTTGCTTAACTTGGAGGCAAGGGTTCATTTGCTATAGAGCATTTGTTCCTCAATTCCTTTCAAGATGCATCCAATTATTTGTTTTAATCATTTTATCATTCATATTTCAAGAAAATAATGACCAGAAGGCCTCAGAAAATTTGACTCACAGAGGTTAAAAAAAGACTCTGAGTTAGCGAGGTTTTCAATTTATTGATACTACGGGAATTCAGACAGGGACTTGAAAAAAAATCGACTTAGGGAGGAATTCAACTTGGGAGGTTCTAATTATTGAGGTTCACCTGTAAATATCACAGAAAATCCTACAATGTAGAGTATATAGAAAATATTACGGAAATTTCTGTACGCAAGTATTGAAGAACGTCCGTATTTAACACATATGGACTCTTTCTCTCTCTTGAACAAAATTCAATGGAACAGATAAATATTGGTTGTAGAGAGAATTTCTTGTAGAGGACCCATACAACGTGGAGAAAGAAGCCTATGGATATAAAAAAAAATCGCCATACAGAATTTCAGACAAGATCGGTGTAGAGAGTCCACTTGTATAGTAGGAAGTTTTAAAAATCTCACTTACGATTACTGTACAAAGCATATACAGTACAGAAAATTCTGCTTGAAATCGCCCCATCCTACTTCTCTCTGTCTCTCACAACCTCAAAAAATAAATGGAGTAAGTCAAACAAAATGACGCCTCAAAATTTTAGATCAGCGTATCATGGGGTGGTTTTAGTTTAAGATCTCTCAGGATGCGTTTGCTTAGGTCAGATTAAACTTAGGTCGGTTTAGAAGATTTTTTTTCCCTGTATGATCGGTTTCTTGCATTAAGTCTTGAATACATACTGTATTATGTTCGTATGCGCTCTATCTTTTACCCATTTTCCCCGTATAACATACCTTTAAAATTTTTCGTTTATTCATTTCGTTCCAAAATTCAGCTTAAAAGATGCTCCGAAAATTTTTTTCATCTTTCCCAATATTTTGGATTCCTCCACACAACTTTACACGCTTTCCGACAGAGTTTTGACGGTGCAATCCATCATACAAATGAATGTTGTGACGGAGAAATTGTAAAGACATGCGTGTATGTCTTATGAATCACCTCTACCAGAATTACAACCCATGCTGATCAATTCACATCAATAATTTTCTTTGAAGCACAGTTCTTTGGAATATTATTGTACAGTGCTGTACAGCTGTATAAAAAGATTCAAGTTGTTGGTTTGAGCGATAAATAGTACGTGAGCACTTCCTGGAAGATGAACTGTTTCCTTCCATGTTTCGTTGACCACATTAACAATCACTGCGTCCATACAACGGGTAAACCGATGAAAGATTTCAATCAAGTTTCACAATCGGGGTTAACCTCATTTGATATACTGTATATATTTTTCAAATGTCATCCTCGAGGAGAGAATATCGATTTTGATTGGATTTCTGTGAATTGACAAACATAGCGTTCCCATCACTGCGAGTGCAGTACACATACATACTGTTGTTCGGACTTGACCATCAGATCTGCTGGTGGCAATGTCTGGAAATTTCTGGAAATCCGCGGCATCACGTATGTTGGGCAAGGAAACGATGATCTGGTATGCTGGCTTCTCTGAGCGGATGAATAGCCCGTCGAACCCCTCTGTTTCCCATGTTAATTGATTTATCTCTTTTGGAATGATTCCAACTGACCAAGACGTAAGACTGAAGACCGGCTTCTGTTTTTTATGACCACGAGGTCAGCCTATGAAGCTGTATTCTCCCCAACCCAGGAGATAACCGTGATTTTATCATTCTGGTGAAACTCTATCTGAAATCTGATTTGGGTTTTACTGGTGAAGAGAGTTAAATAAATAAACTGTCAATTCATAATAGGCACGTTCAGTTAAGCTGAATGAAACGTAGCCTAAATACTGTACTGCTGGAAGTAGGTAAACCGTTTTCACGAGGTCCTTTTGTTAAATTTGATTTGTCGATCTGCGATAAAATAAAAAAGTACAGTAATGTAGAGTACCTGTCTCTGTCGTGGTTTCGAGCGATATAATTTGTTTTTAGCGACATCTGTGAGTATATCACGGTTTGCGGGTTAGAACGTATAACAACTCATGTAGGTGTCGCTCAAACAAAAAGTTAATTTAGGAGAGAATCTGTTTCTGGGCGCCAGCACGAATATTCCAGGGTAATAGAAATAGAGCACAGGACTGTACCTTAACCATGCATTAAGCCGTGTAAATTCGGAATGAATTCGAGTCAGAAGAATAAAATTTGCACGATAGTTTAGTTACCGAAAATTCAGCGAGCTATAAATTCCACGAATAAATTCTCGCCGAACACACCGACTTTTCGAGGAGCGAACAGTGCTCATTCAATGGTTTGACGCGTCAAGTAATTCTTGAGCGAAAAAAAGCTCATTTGCGAAGGAACCTATACCAACGGGATAGAAAAATAATCGGAAACCGTAAAAAGCATGGGATTCATCCATGCGAGGAACATTCTTAGGACTTTCAGCGCGATAAGGTGGCCAAATGTACATCCCACCCAAGCCCGGCCAAATGAACCAAGGAGGCTAATGCGATCAGCTTTGGTCCCAGAAAATGCCCTAAGGGAATGTAAAGCCGAGGAGACCACATTTGAAATACAGTACTTGAAGTGAAATCAATAGTGAAATACTTTTGAGAAACAGGCGATGGGTAAAAGTCGTACGATCCACGCTGCGGATGATAGAAAAACAGGCAGTCTTGACATCATCATCACTTTCCATTTACTGGCTAATGATACCGTCGATCTTGACTGTCTGCTGATACCGAGGACAGAGTTTATAACGATTCTACACATTTCGTATGAAAGAATATTACAAGCAAGGATCCCTCAGGCGTGATTTACCGTCTATGTTTAAATGACTGGGCTTTTTTCTCGTATCCGGGACGAAGCGGAAGACGAGAAATCAGTTCTTAGGTGATAGAGCATCGTACAGATGAAAAGGATTTTTCGGACATCGTTTCACGCTTCATTTGAAGGTGTGATGGGACTTGGGCGACTTCAAGGAGCTGAACATTGACTGAGCCGCAGCAGTCATGGCCTCAGTGCCACCGACGAGCAAGTTGCAATTAATGCATTCGCCGTCGAAAGCCCGTTTCCCGCTTGAGTGGGTGAAGAAGTTCTGTCCCGGCTGGTTCATCATCTCCACCAGGTCCTGAAGAAAGTTCATGATTTCCTTTTCGCCGAGAGCGATGTTGCAGTCGCGACAGCGGGCAAAGACGAAGGGCTTGTTTCTCGCTTCCGGGTCAGCTTTTTGAGCGGTCGGTTCAGTCAGTCCAGGGATCGTGTCAAAGGGACTTTTCCCGGTTCTAGCTGAACCGGGTGCTGCAGGAGGGAATCCTTGTTGGGACAGGAAATTGCTGAAGTCCGTGGCCGCTTCCGGGGCCGTTTGTCCGAAGGCGTTGATGAGTGCGGCAGACGGTGAGGCGGCCTGAGACGGACTCGGTGTCAGCGGCACGGGGTCCTGGGTTGCAGCGTTGAGACTGTTGAGGTCCTTCAGTTGGTTCAAAACTGCGAAGGAAGAAACAGTCGGTAAATTCAATACGTAAACACGACGAGACAAGGGTGAGTAAAATGTAATGTTCCTCATGCAGCAGCAACTTAATTTCGACTTGATCACATCTTTTATGGCGATACTATAGTTAACAAAATTCCACCTCGGGTTCAACTATACCGCCATCGTTGCAGTGGTGTTGAAATTAAGAAACTCTTCCGAAAACAATAGCAGCAGCGATGGCCCGTTTTTACTCCCTAAACTATAACGATGTCATGAACTCTTTTTTTCCCGGTTTAAGCAGAAGAGCAAAACTAGACGTTATAAAAGAATGGGCAAAATCGATGCTTTAACTTTTTCCTTTGAAATTTAATTCGATTCCATTGACGAAAATTGATCAGCTGACGATGATCCGCGTCCCCAAGGAGGAGAAAACCGAGCCCTTATTTTCAAGCAGGGTTGAAGACATATATGCAGTGACTGTTGCGATTATGCGTGTTCCAAAATGTGAATTATGAAATATTTTACAATCGTTAAAGATGGCATTTCAAGCGTGGAAGAAATCTTTCATGAGTATAACAGGAACTTTTGAGAGATGTGAAAATGGAAGAGAAAGTCTTTCACAACAGCAAAATAATCTTTTCAATATCTTACGTATTTGCTCTTCCATGCATGTTTAATCATAGCCCCCAGATAACATGTTCTCAGCGAACTTAGACCCTGTGGGGCAAATAAGTAGGAGGTTGTATGACACTTTGCGTATGGACTTTTGGATTTTGCAGTATAAACTTCTAGAGAGAAAGTTTTACCGGTACGTACCTTGTGATGAACACCGTTCAGTACAAGCATGAAATTATTCTTCAGCGCCATGAACAAAATAATTAAATTATTCTGACCGAGTATCTTTTTGAAATCGAGTTCGGCTATTCAGAATTCGCATATATTTTGTTTAATACAGGATTCTAATTTTCAATTTTCAGATTTTGGAAAGATTTTAAGGGAACAGTTTTTAACTGGTCATGAAAAATCTAACTTAATAGACGAGAATAGACGAGATTGTCTCGTATACGTCCTCAGACTCCAAGTAAAATATACTGACGACCTTCAATTAAAGGGGAAAAACATATTTTCAAAATTTGCAGTACTTGAAATTTTGATCCTAGACATGTTTTTTCTTCCAATGAAACGTGCCCATTAGTAGTTTCAGAACTCATTCGAACGCAAAGTGATTAATGACTTTATATTGATTTCGTATCAGCTTGAACAGGACCGAGACGTTTGATGGCGAATTTCGATCGAATTTTTCCATTTTTGTTTCATCATCAATATTTCTGCCAACTTAAAGCAATGCCGGTTCTATCATCTGTTTAAGGAAGTTCTGGGAAAAAGAGTCTACTTCGGTCCTTAATTTCAGAAGATATTAGGTTGGAAGGTTAAATACGATACTCCGTACCCGACTGATTGAAGGAAAGTAATCATCTCGGCGAATGCCGGACAATGTCATTTGAAGGAGACCAGCTATTTGGTAAATGAGCTGTACCAAGCAAACGTTATATGGTACATAAAATAATCGACAGCATAGCTCTTCCAGAAGAGGGCCATATGATCTCATCCAGCATCCGATAGTGACAAGTAATCAAGATAATTGTAATGTTAACTAAATATGCCCCTTAAATGCATCCGTCAGTTTCGCGATGACGTCTGCTTTCCAGTCAACTGAAGAACACGTCTCTTATCCAAAATACGATTTGAACAAAGCCCAAATCTCATGAGGCAAAATTCCAATGATCGTAAAATCCAAACTTTTACCGAGTATAGCTAAATGCTAGTTGACAGATTTAGGTAGTTTTTCATTTTATGATCCATGAACAATCATGATTGTGGTATCAGTACTATGTTTATGAGATCCTCTTGCAATTCAGATCTTGTTGTAATACTGTAGTGCCGGGACTTCAGTGTTCGGGTTTCAGGCATTTCGATGCCCTTTTCCATGACGACCTTCATATACAATTCCGACTGCTCGATTCTGGTATTATTGGAAGTATATGTATGCGAGAATTGTGTGCCATGGAATCAAGAATGTGGGAGGAATGAACAATGGAAGTGGGCGTATTTTGAATCAGAAGAGATTCATCTTGTTACTGTATTCCCGCCAATAATGACGGAATTCTTCGTCTACAGTTCAGAAAAGCGCAATTCACCGTGAATCAACTCCTCCTCTCAACTGAATCATTTGAACAAAAATGGTAACGAGTTGGCAGTGCTGATGATTGCTGAATGGCTGTAGAAAATGAACTCTTTGACTTGAATATGAACAACAAAACAATCAACCTGAAAAGCCGTCAAAACGATCACAAGGCAAACTATACATAAGATCATTCCTTTAGAATGAAAAAAAAAGCTCCGTCAAGAGAGTAAACGGGGCTACTTACAGTAACAATGTCGCCATTTTTTTGATGGGAGATAGCCTAAGGTTATTGTTATTTTGTCTCATTCTTTTTTCATTGATGGCGATAAATCTTCACTTCTCTTACTCAGAGGCCTTGCGATATGAAAACCGTGATTAAAAAATTATGGAAATCCCGAAAAGTACTGATTGTAAAATGAGAATAAAGCACTTACCTCATCAAAGCGAATGCATTTGAGAAATCACATGATTTTAGTGGATGATAAAAAGTAGTTAAAACTTGGAATGCATTTTCTGAAATTTGTTTAACAATTTTCCACAAAGGATGTGTACCAACATCTTCAAACTTCTTAATCTCATCAACGATAGTCAACGGTGCAAACTTTGAAATCTGCTAGGATCTTGATTGGATACGTATCGAGTAAACATTTTTTTTTCTTTCAAAAAATCATTCATACGGGCTCTTGCACCTTCGCCATTAGCAAACTGAGAACTGCGCGATTACGGCACCGGATGAAATAATTTTTAAAAATATTTCCAGGTTATTTCAATGATGCCGAATTCAAAATGCAGTAGTTATTAAACTCCTTTTGCATGCTTGATTCGCTCTGAGAAAATCCATCAGAGCAAAATACATTCTTTTGAAAATTCAATTTGTATTCACTGCTTCAAACCTCAAAAACGTGTACACAGGAATTTAGTCATGCATATTACAGTACAACGTGATGCTAACGATACACCCAAGTTATGAATAATTGCATGCATTGGACTGACTTTCCAATAACAGTTTTAGCAGAAAGATGGTCTGAGATGTACGTGAGTGCTAGCGAATTGTAACAAAAATCCGAGGATTAACATATGCAGTGCTGTACATTTAATATTAGGTTTCAGATACCACATCATGGATATTTTCGGATGAATATCTCAAGGGATGAACAGTTCATGGCTGTACAGTTCATAGTAAAAGTTTGATCCGCCACAGAAAGAATGATTAATTAGATCAGAATCGACGATAGGACTGAATAATGAAGGTTTCCAAGAACCACTCCAAGGATATCCTGGTTCAATCGCTTCGCGGTCCAAGGGTCCATTTCTATTATTAGTTATGCAGATTTGTTGGGCTTTTTCAGCCGCATCCCAGGAATCAATTAATCCATCGAAGAAAGATAGAGAGAAAACTTGTATGTTCTAGATAATTTCGAAAAAAAAAAACTCACCGCTCAGGAAATTCGCGCTGAGCCCGTTGGTCCCGAAGGTTCCGCTCCCCGTTCCTGCAATTATAAAGAAACTTTTTGAGAAACAGAACAATCTGGATACTCAAGAACACCAGTTCGAAAGAGTCGTGCTGAATAACTGAATAAGCATCAAGTCATTTTCATTTCCCTCGTCCAAGGAGGAGGACTTGGTTGATGCCTGGTGAAATCATCAAAATGAAATGCAGCAAATTGTGTCATGCAGCTCAAAATTGAAAGCGAAGTAGTTCTCGAAATGTTATAGCATGAAAAACGACTATTTCTCGGAAATGGCTTTGAAATCGGCAAGTTCTGAGTGAAGCAAATCTAATATCCGGTTGGAGCACATGAACAACCGCGCTCGAAAATATACTTTTTAATTTCTATGCAGAAAAATTTGATCTATACGGTGTGCTGTATTTCGAATGCCCCAAAACGCTCATGGAGCTATTGGAAACTGAATGCGAACAGTGGCATTTTAAGCCATACAGGATCACGAATAGAAAGTGAATAATCAACTACCCTTTTGGATGCAAATACGATTTCACGTGCGATTTTCAATTGGCACTTGCAGGAACTCTTCGAATAAAGAAGAAGTTTTGCTGAAAATCCTCTCATCTTGTTTAAAAAAAATCTAAGCTATTCCTAGCTCTTTGAGTACAGTATTTTCACAAGAGGAAAAAATAATGCTGAGATGAACGTCAGGTTTAAACTCCTGCGCTATTTGAAAACAAGTACTGTACTGTACCGTGTATGCAACAGCAGGTACGAGTTCTTGAGCACGGTAATAGTTTGTGCGTCGAAGCTTTCAGGCTGATTAGAAGGAGTTGGGAACACACACAAATGTCAATTGTCAGTCGCATGATGTTGGAAAAACATCGCGACGCTTGAAACTCTAATACGGAAACAAGATTCGTGGGAAAAAATGTTTTCGGTGTTTCTCGGGACTTGAGCGATGTGCGCTCATGTCACACTACCCTTGAAGATATCATCAACTCGGAATTGTGGATCGTGACCACTTACACCCCCCAGTGCGGACCGCGAAGAGTGTTACTGAACTTTACCCGATGCCAGGAAATGTGGAATCGACGTTACTAACAACAGTCCTGTCGTGACTGGAGCTCGTTGGAAGGATCAACCCCGCCATTAGTATTTTTACTGGTCTGTGTAGTTCATCATGTTTTTCTGATCGCATGAAGAGTAAACCACGAAGTGCGCTACGAAAGCCTCTGTGGAATCTACGTGTGAGTGGTTACTGCATCGTGAGACCACCGCATTTTCCATTAAAATAACAGTAGCCAAATTCTAGCTCTAAAATTTCGGGGAGATGGGGATAAAAGAAAAACAGTCTGCAAATGGAATTTCGTGCTCGTCCGACCTCCACCAGGGAGATATTCCGTAAAATGAAGTTTCCCGCATGTTCCCATAAAAGGTTCCGTATGACCAACCGTGAAAGTGTTTCTCAGTGCTTCATGTTAGGAAGTACTGCACTCTATTGTTTCGAAATATTTCCTATAGTTGCCGATGACTTCAGAAATAATGCGATGTAGTACATTCCTGTGAAGAAATAATAATCCGCTTGGAGAACTTTCCTATTGTTTGCAAAAGAGAAAGTTTACATTTAGCATTCAGAACTCGAACCACCATCCTTTCCAAAAGAGAAATATATGGTTATTCACTCGAAATAAAATTGCATGAAGGAAATACTGCACACAGCAAAATTTCTCATCCAATGCACTTAAAAAGCCTCGTTAGAATATGCTGCACAGTACTCGAGAATCTAGAGTCTACTGCAAAGGTACTCGATTTTTTTTTCCATCCGATGAACCCCTTCCCCGAATTGAATTTTCCCGGTCGGATTATCTCTTGAAATAAAATTCTGCGACGGATCCCTATTCCGTAGCGAATGCTGTAAATATTTTGTCCGAAAAAATGAACGTACAGTATTTAAGCAGCTGTCATTCCAGGAAATATGAACAAGCAAGTTCTTTGCCAAATTCTTCGTAGACATAACCTCAACTCAACCCAACTTTCCCTTCACTATTTTTCGTGAGCATCTGCGAAGCCCATGTTAAGTTCTTGAGATCTTTGTGTTCCGCAGACGAATCTCATCGATTGCGTCTCTCTTATGAGAGGAAATCAACTCTGGTAGTCAACTCATCCTGAACACAAAATAATGATGAACGTATCCAGGAATTCCTTGAGCCTTATTCCTCATCGGCGGAAAAGAACTCCGGGGAAAATGGGATGAACGCGGGCTAAATTCATTCGCCAGCCAGCTGAATTGCTTTCAAGAGTGGACACGAAACCGGCTGCCGTACATCGTTTTGTCACATGCAGCGAGAGGAGCTGCTCATCAGGCGACGCTCCTGTATCCCATTCCAGACGTGACTCCCAGGTTCTGGGTTCCCGAACAACCATTCGTTCCCCGGCTCCGCTTTATCGGGATGAAGCTGGGGGTCATGCAAAGCGAGATCGTCGGCCGAAAAATCTCTGGCGCTGGCTCCTTTCCTGAGAACTTCCAGTGCCAAGCATGTTTTCCCGGGTCCAGGACCTCGATCTGGTAAATCGCGCCTTCGGAGTCTCGCCAGCACCCTATACTGGTGAATTCTTCCCCCTGCATTGGTTCCAGGTCCAAGCTACTGCATCTGGAATGCGGCTGTGAGCGCATTCCCAATTTAACGGGTACGTTTGCACGACAGCGTTTCATATCAATTTTAATGCTTGAAATTCCAGTTTCCCGAGAAAAATCCTGATTGCATGACCGATTTTAATTTCTCTTGGCATGGCGACAAACAAATTCAAGTCACACATCCAAGCAGCGTTCATCTCATGAATGAATTGTGTGTCTGCCGTCTGGAACCACCTGCTTATTTAGTAAGAAAAATTGAATAAAAAGCGGATATCCGTCCAGAGTGCTATCTCGCTTGAACTGTAACAGAAGCCCAACTTATCCCGTATCCAGCGAACAAAGCATTGTTGAATAGAATCTATGTTATTGTTTTGAATGTTTTACATTCCAGTTATTCGAGAAGAATCCAGGCTTGTGTTCTTGGTTCGACCTATTTTGACCCTGACTATTTTGTCTGCGTATACTGTATATGATTATTGCTAAAATAGGAATCAGTTCCCTGTTTCCCTATTAGTAGAGTGGGGCCCTGGGATGTAGACATAAATACTTCTCAGTTGTATCCATTAAACTGGAATGTCAAAATGTTGAAAAAATTGTCTCATAGCTTCAAAGGGAGCATATCTAAATACTTCACCCGTTAAAAAAGTGATAAATGAAACAAATAATGTAGTAAACACGTTTCCTCAACTATAAAACACAAAAAATCAACGTTCAGAAGAGAACCACACATAATCTGCCCTACTGGCATGCAAAGGACCACAAACGGCGAAACACAAGCTCACATATTGACATACTGCTACTTATACTAGCTACAGTACGAAGTTTTTTGGAAAAACTGATAAAAAGCACAAAATGGGCAAGCCACTTCGGAAAATAAATTCGAATGATTTGAACATAATATTTATTTTGTCTATTATGTTCATGGAAATTCCCCACTCTCTTTAAGATGAAATCAATAATCGTAAATATCTTATTTTTCTTTTCCTAGAAATTTTGGCAATATCCCCACTAATTTTTTTTAGATGTATGGCAGAATTTTTTACGACTTGAAACGTACATTTTTCAAGTTTCCCGCATTTTATGCATCTATATACGATATGTTGATACTGCAGTTGCATTCCAGGTGGTGATTAAATGTGCTACCATGGGCTGCACCCCTGCTTACTTCATCAAAAACAATCGAATGTATATAGAGGATTTAAATATATTCGTACCCAGTGCAATTCCAATATTGTACATCCGCATGTACGAGTATATACTGCACTGTAAAAGTTAACATAATCCGAATGTTTCTTTTCATGTAGAAGCGCGATCAACTCTCTTGTGTTTCGAAAATGTCGCTGACCGTCACAGTCGAAAGTTTCAGACTTGCGGAGACCATAAATCCGTCATTCGAGCCAAATATGGAAAGAATGCTCAGTAGCAATCAAAAACAGGAACGCGGTTTACTTGACCGAGTCTCTATTTAATTTCCTCGTTTGCCATGAAACCTGTTTAGAGTCAAAGAAAAGAGAAATAGACACCGAGTCCCAGCGGCTGAGAAAATTGAAGCTGAAAGCTGTGTTTCCGCGTAATCTTTTTTTTTTTTTCGAAATAAAATGCATAGAAGCATAGCAAAACTAGGCTTCAAGTTGGAGTATATTTTCATTTTATTCGAATTGCTACAAGAGGAATGTCCGATCAAGCTGGCGGATATTGAAAATTTTCCTGCCTTCACTGCCAAAGAAATTCATTCTTCGGTGTGTACCGCTTTTCGGGGATGACAACTTACATTTAAAATTTGATTGTTCAATAATCTAAGATGAGTAAGCTATTCTTCCAGAAAAAAAACTCATGTCATTCTTAATGTATAATTTTAGCATGGATTTTTGGAGCAGAAGTAAGTGCTTAAATTCTTTCCTTATTCATGGCTGCAAAATTGGGTGCGCAGAAAATTTAAGGATACTGCATTTCAAAAATAGGCACTATTGTACCTACTATTTTCAACTAATATAAGAATCTGAACCAGGGCTTTCCAAACCGCTTTCTGGATTGCGTGATTTTCACAGTTTGTCAGTGTTTGCAAATCACATCAACGGGACTTCGCTCAACCGAAGGTGCAAGTCAGAATAATACCTACAGTACTTGACAATTCATCCGAAAATACGCGTTCTGCTGTGCTACAATTTTTATGGCTTTCAACGTCCTTTACTGAAATAAAGGAATCCATTGCTTTAAGCTTCTTCGTGTTCTGCATCTTAGTTTCAGTATTTCATAAAATACTCCCCGCCATTGCATTTTTTTTTACTTCAGCATCAGTCATTCAAAAGAGGCAACGCTACGAACAGTACCACTTATTGGTTGAAATGTCCTGATCTGAATATTGCTTCACTGCAAAACACGAACTATTTTATCGCGAGAAAAGTTTGAAAAAATTTCATCGCGCTTGTAAATCAGACAACCCTTGTATTCAAGAGCAGATGATTGAAAGAACCCTCGCTTTATATGTAGGAACTGCTGTATACAACCATGGTATGACAGGGGTTTTTTTTTGTTGGCCCAGTCGCAACTTGACGCAAAGCTCTTTCTTACATGTCAACGGTCACACGTGCGCTGGGTGGAAAAGCGGGTTTTCTTTTTCTGCCCATGTTCCCCCATATCCGTCGCAATAACGAGACGTTGAAGCCGCGCGGCAAATTGCTACCCGATGAACACCCATTTCCGATTTCCTCTTCGAGCTCGGGTTTTCTGGCTCGACCGTCTCAATGCCGCGGTTGATTGGGTCGATCGGAACCGAGCATCCGTCTTCCAGCAGTTCACCTTGACAGGCGTTTCTTAATTGAATCGTGGCATAACTCATAGGACTGGTATCGACCTGTCTGGTGCTTGATCTTCACTTCCGCAGAGACCCTCTCTTGGGTGACGGCGGTTTATTGATTTTCAATCCCGCGGAAACTTTTCGAGGCCCCCGCTGAAATTGGCTGTGATCAACGCGAGGATGTCTTTTGTGGAAATCGCAGAGACTTACTGTACTTCCTGAAGGGAATACCAGGAATGCTGTGAGAGTAAACTTGAAATCAATGAGCATCAGCCTTGATAAATCCTTTGTGGAAATAAATTGCACGAATCGGATGAATCATTTCCTACCTCTGACGTAATTGACGAGTTATTCATACGGCTCTGTGGGTCTCCAGTTATCCCCCTGAAATCATTTCCGCTTCTTGGAATTACATTAAAATCAGCGAACTAGTATCACAAAGCAGTAGCGTTCGTTCAAAAATAAGATCCGTTATTTAAAAAGACCCAGCAATATTTTCAGACGCTGCTTTGGAGAGAAGCTCAACCCTGAAAACATGTTTCATCTTTTGAATTGATCATCTTCTCATAGTTCATCCACCATGAAATTATTCCGTGATTGCCTCCGCATCTGAGAATTACGGAAGGCATTTTTAATGTATTGACATCAGATGCGGTGGTGAAACTTTTTCTCATTTTTGGATTAAATACAGTTTGTAGTATACTGTAGTTCTATAGTA